AACGTATTTGAGGAAGGGGCTCACGGCCGCCCCAGAGAGCCTGCGCAGAGGAATTTGGTAAGCGACCGAGAGGCGGGAACCAGGGCGGGAACCAGGGCGGCGCGACCGGCGCGACCGAAAGGCGGGAGCTGGACTGCACAGGGCACGGCTGCAACGATCCCCGCGCGCGCCCGTCGCCGGGGGCCGGGTCGTCCGTCAGGATCATCGCGAGATCCGAGGGTGGTGATCGATCGATGGATCTATGGCTACCTATCTATCCCCACCCCCCTTTCCTCTCTTCTCCTCATAAACGTCTCCACAGGGCCCGCGCTGTTTGCCATTACGCATCCCCAGTTCAAGTTGCTTCTACCACAAATAAAACGTCTGGCCGATAGTTTGGTGCCGTTTCACCTCAGTTTAGCCCAATCGCAAACCTACTGCGACCCCCTGAGTTACCCAGTCTGAGCAGGAGCAACATCACCCCCTTTTATTAATATTTGTAGCAGCTTCTATTTTACCAGCTTGGAATTAACAGAAGCACACCTCTTCCATCGCAGCCACTGATGAGAAAGGTCAAAACCAGATTTTGCTGTGTATTTAGAGTGGATAACAATTTCTGGAAAAAAAGTCATTGCAATATAGATTTAGCTTTCAAGACAGATACAGCTGAAGTAAGCTGCGGCAGTGCCTGAAGGAAGGGAAAAAGATACCACTTCCTTTATCAAATGAGTCAGCACACAACCATTTGGGGGGGGGGTATTTTGCTCAGGGTTTTTTTTTGTTTGTTTGTTTTTATTATTTTAAATTTTTTTTTTACAAGAGATATCTTTAAAGCTGGGTGACATCTCCTTCACTGTGAAGGGCTGACCCGCCTGCCCATTGACTAGTCAGGAAGAAAGCAGCTAAGCGAGCAACACAAAACCATAGCTGCCTGTTGAAACGGAGACGAAAGGGCAGGAGCGAGCGAGCGAGGGGTCTGAAGAAGGGAACTTACAATGCACAGCCATTCTGCAGCCCGAAAACTGACAACACGGGAAGTGGTGTATTTCACTTGAAGCACCATCAGCTCTGCTCTCGGGTACTATACGGTTAACTGTCGTGATACTTCTGGTAGTTAACGCAGCTGTTCCTTAGATGAAAGATTGCATCTGACTACGGACTATGCAAGAGTAAGTGACATTACATACCCAACCAAAATATTAAGAGATTTCTTCTAGAAATCAAACCATTTCTGGAAGCAAACACAATTTTCCCTGTTAGGTTTTGCTTTTTTTTTGTTGTATTTGATCCGTTTGGCAGCTCTAGCGTAAGACACAACACAGGCCACAGCAAAAAAATCTGTGTCTGTAAGCAGACAGCTTTTCACTACCTGAAGTAGCCTGTAAATGGCAGTTTTTTCTGGTGTTTTTTTAAGTACTTAAGTGTGACACAGGCACTAATAGAAGACTATAGAACACTACATAGAAGGATATAGAACACTATGTAATTTGAAAAGGGGAAAATAATTTTAATCAATTCTTTTAGAATATTCAAGCTAACAAAGTCCAGAATATTGTGTGAGCACGTGACACAGTACTCTTCACACACTTAGGTATTAGCTTTTTCCAGGCAGGTGAAGAGATGGTTGAAGCTATAGAAGCAATACAGTGACATACAGCATTTTTATAACTACACAACATGAAGTATTTGATTTTTTTGGGTAGTACCAAGATTTTGCAAAAAGGAAAACGTACTGTGGCACCACCACCCACCACCCCCCAACATGGAAGCTCTTTAGCACTTCTGAAGTTCGTCAAGTGTGCGATTTAAATTTGGGACAAGAAGTTGGAGCAAAAGTCTGGTTCCTCTAGCCAGAGGTCTGCAGTCTGACGATGATTTAACTGTACATTTACAGTTGCACCTCTATGTGTTAAGTAATCTAGTACTAAAGTTAAAAAAACACCAATAAAGATATATTCACTCATAAAAAAATACGGGTTTGGTCTTAAAAAAACCCTCAATGCCTCTCAGCATTGCTTTCAGTTCACCTGTGGGCAAGGGCTACGTCGCAGCGAGGCTGGAGAGCACCGTTCCAGGGGGGCAACATAGGGACGCGCGCTGGGGACCCCTAC